TCCCAATACAAAAACAAACTATAACAATACATTTGTTTTCAGTGTTAGCAAGTAAGAATTGTGATCATAGATTACAGAAAAGCAAATATTAGCTACTCCATAATACATTATAGCCATATATAATTTTCTCTTAGGTTACATGTCTGTTGTGCCTGGCTCCCGGGGTATCATGGGATTATACTGATTATCATGTAATTCCCTAGGGTTATCATGTCTCCATCTGTTTGTTGAGGAGGAAATACTGAATAACCAAAACATTACCCAAATAAGACTGAAGATGGATTAAACATGAAAAGAACATGTCCAGTTATGTATAAACTGGACATACAGAATGTAGAACATTTTTGTAAATGATTTAAGAGCTGCAATGAATGTGTTTGCTATACCTCAAAACTTTCCCACAAACAGATAAATCTATCCTCTGAGGTGCATTAAACGGCAGAGACTGTGCTTTGTTCCAGCTGCCATCTGTTTGCTTTGTATGTAAAATTACAAATTGCCTTAAAGAGACTCCCTGTAAAAAAAGTTTAAAGCTGGCCATTCACTGCTCAATTTTTTCAATGAAATGAAATGAATGAAAAAAATAGAGCAGATTCCTCCATCAATGCTAGAAGTGCATTGATCGAGGCATCCCCGTTTCCTCTGTATTCTCATTGGCTGCCAGCACTGTTTGTAAGAAGATTTCTCGACCGGCTCCTTCAATCAGATGATCTAAGCATGCGGGCTGAAAGGGTGCTCGAAGCGGCACTCACTGTGTAAATTTGGGCCAGTTCCTCAAGAAGGGGCTGAACCGCAGTGTTATGCCATCTTTATACTTACCTTTCCAGCAAGTTGAATTTTACAGGGTTATTCACAAAAGGGTGAAGAGTTTAGAGAAGGCAGGAGAAGAGAACAATCTAGGACAAAACAGCTGAACTGGAAAGTGAGCTGAATTGGAGAATTTCTCCAAATCAGCTATTTTGGCCTAGATTGTTCAAATCTCCTGCCTTCTCCAAACTCTTCACCCTTTTGTGAAATGTCAAGATGGCCATACACCTATAGATTATCTGCAGATTTTCTATAGGTGTATGGCCATCTTGACATTTCACAAAAGGGTGAAGAGTTTGGAGAAGGCAGGAGATTTGAACAATCTAGGCCAAAATAGCTGATTTGGAGAAATTCTCCAATTCAGCTCACTTTCCAGTTCAGCTGTTTTGTCCTAGATTGTTCTCTTCTCCTGCCTTCTCTAAACTCTTCACCCTTTTGTGAAATGTCAAGATGGCCATACACCTATAGAAAATCTGCAGATAATCTATAGGTGTATGGCCAGTTTTAGAGTTGTCCTCTCTAGAAAAGCCCTAGGCTCCCTTACTATTCAAGTATGTTAGAGTGGTCAGCATCTTTGTTCTTAGTTTTAGAAAGGATGAAGAAGGGTTAATTATTTCTGTCATGTTTTATGGTGGACCATGTTGGGCAGATTTCCCCTAATTTCCTCTTCTGGCATCAGATGGTCAATGTGTCAGGAAGTAAGGGATAACCTTTTTAATGGGGAACAAAGCATTAGTCATATGATCATTAGTGGGGGTGAAGGTTATGTATAGCCTTTTACTTTAATTCAGTGGTATATATTTTTTAAAGTGATATTCAAGAAAAACTCTATGTATTTTTTAATGATAAGTTAGCTAAACAACATCTTTAAATATCAGTAAAAAAAATAGGTCAAGGCAACTGGACTTGCTGTATTTTTTTTAAAGACATTTCACTGGTCATCCAACCAGCTTTTTTCAATTCAGAATGACTTGTACAAAAATTATCTGGGAATAAATATGGTGAATGTTGCTCCAATCCACATAATCTGTTAGTCACAACCAGGTGTTGATTGCATTTGCATAACAGGCGCTAGGAGGTGTTATTAACCTGCCCAGAGCCATGGGTGTCACAGCTGCCGAAAGACTCTGTTTAACGTGGATGGGGGAATCAAGTGATATTCTCTCTAAATTCCCCACAGACTGAAGGAAAGAATGCTACATATGCATGGCTAAATTTAAAGCAGATCTCCAGTAAAAAAAACAAGAAAAAAACCTTTGTAGTGGGGCTATCCCCCGCACTGCAAGGGTTAACTGCTTGCTTTTGTCTTGGGGACCTGTGTAAAGAAAATGTTGGTGCCTGCAGCCTCTTGCCACTCTGCTCCAGTGGTCAGAGGCCTGCTGATGTTGTCACACCTAACGCAGGACCCGTAGTCCAACATTATACGCGGCCGCCCATGAGCCGCAGCATAGGAGAGAGAAGTGAGCGGCGACAGAGTGGGAATCAGGTGAGTAAAAGTCCTCTTCACCATACCTCTAGTCATAAAAAAGCAGTTAACCATTGCAGTGCAGGGGTAGCTCCACTGCTCAGGTAGTTTTATTTTTCTCCCAGAGATAAGCTTTAAGCTGGCCATTCACAGCTCAATTTTCAGCCGATTCGAGCCCTTTTGGCACCACAAAAGTTGAAATATTAGCCATAATAAAGAGCCTGGATAGAGTAATCCTCCCTGCTGGGCCAATGCATTTTGACAGCCGGTGCCTGAACAGTCACTACTGATTGGCTGTAATCTCTGCTTGGCTGACAATTTTAAGCCCGACTCCTTCAACAAAAGTCGATTGAGTGATTGACTTCTGTTGATCTGGGAAGGCCACCCACTATTAAAATGTTGTCCAATTTACAGGAATGGGCTGATATTTGAAAAGGTGTATGGCCAGCTTTACATTATGACAAGGGGCAATACAGCACAGTTATTGTGTAGTACTGCAAAGCAGAAAGCAAATATGAAGATATACATATATAGTTGTAAATTATACACAGAAACAGGGTTTTTAAAACATTCACATATATTAAAACATTATTTACATCCACCTGAACCTTTGTACAAGTATACAGTGTATAAAAATGATAAGACTATACTTTCCTTCTGAATGAATGATGGAAATGTATCCGCATTATTGTTACAGTAGTGTGCAGATAACTTTTTAGTACTTTGTTACAGAGCATGATCCCTAGTGAATGGCTGGCATACTCCATGACAACAGTCACAAAACTGAAATGTTTAGTATTCAAATCTGGCATGGTTTAAGTCTCTTAAATACGATTAAAAAAAAAAATGAGTCTGATACTGGCCCGTCTTAGTCTTTGGTGTGAGCCAACATATTGTGTATAAAGACCATTGTCCATCTGTCACTCATCTGGAGTTATTGTTCATGTGCTCGAAGGGTTCCTTTTCTTCCATATGATTGGTTTTGGATAATGGAGTCTTTTCACAGTTATAGTGCCGTCTGTCCTTTGATGGCTTGTTGGGCAAAACAATAAGTAGAAAAATAACAACGATATGGAAGTAAAAATAGAATGACCTAGAAAAAAAAAATATGTGTCTTATGTTTAATTTTCACACAAAAATGCAATTTTTTGAATGGTCTGAACTTTTTAATTGTGATGAGTGGACATGGCATAAGTGTAACTCTTGTTTTGTTAACTATTATTTGTTTTTTGAGGCTGAAACTAATGCAGATCAATTAGAGTGGAGGAATAGAGGCTGAAAAACATTTTTTGTGTGTTTTTTTATGACTGTGGTTTACTTTCTGTTGGCAAATTAGCAAGCTAGTTCAATAAAGAAAATGCAAGAACAAAAGTGTATAAAACACATTTCAGCCAGAGTTTCTTATTATTCTGGTCTACCCCAATGAAAATTTAAATCCGATTGGTTGCTGTATGTTACAACACCTTGTACTTCATCACCATTCTTTGCACTGCCTTTTCATACAAGACCGCAGAGGCTATTACACACAAGCTCACCCAGTGCTTAATGTTTTAAGCACGTTAAGCTGCCTACAGACACTACATGGTATCCACCTGAGAATGCACAGTTCAGACATTTTTTTTTACAAACAAGTGTATATGCATGCACAATCTCAAAGGCACAAGTGTATGTTTGTACCTGTATTGCAGCATCAGGTCACAGCATATCTTAGAACAGCGGTTCTCAACCTTTCTAGTGCTGCGACCCTTTGATAAATTGCCCAAGTTGTGGCGACCCCTAACAGTAATTATTCATTTTGTTGCTCCTTCATCGCTGTAATTTTGCTACCGTTAGATAGCGGCTCCTGACCGCCCGGGAGAGAAACTCTTTCTAATACAGTAAACTTTTCCCTGCTTCCCTGTTTTTGTTTTTCTGACATCGGAGCCGCCGGCCACCGTCAGTCGGAAAAAAAGAAGAAAAAAAAACAGCTTTGGAATGCATAGCTAGATTCCTATTGGCTATTTCAATTTGCAATATCCAATAACAAGCTGGCTATTGCACCCGCCCTCTGTTGCTGTCAATCATCAGAAGAGGACCTGATGTAGAACTTTAGGTCCCCCATTGCTGATTGACAGCAGCAGTTGGTGGGTGCAATAGCTAGTTTGTTATTGGCTATTGCAAAGTGAAATAGCCAATAGGAATCTAGCTATGCATTCCTATTTCTGACTGACGGCGGCTCCGATGTTAGGAAAAAAAAAAAAACAGAGCAGGGAAAAGTTTACTCTGATCGATCGAGCAGAGTAAACCTTTCCGGGAGAAAGTGTTTCTCTCCCGGGTGGCCGGGAGCTGCTATCTAATAGCGGGAGACTCCCGGAGCGTCCGGGAGAGTTGGGATGTCTTTAGCCGACCCCTGCCAAATCGTCTTTCGACCCCCGATGGGGTCGCGACCCACGGGTTGAGAACCGCTGTCTTAGAGGATCAATTCAGGTCTGGCCAGGGGATGTTAAAGCTAGCCTATAGACATACAATCATATTCTCCATCCAACCATCAATGGCCAGATCGGGAAAATGTCTTCCAATCTCTGTAAGGGCTTTAGGGCCCCCTTCACACCTATCTGTTCTGGTGAGTTGTGTTAACGTTCATTATCCTCAGCATTACTGTGGGTTGCATTAAAGCAGCTCATTCATTTGAATGAGTTGCCAATGCAGCACACAACACACCTGTACTTTTTTTTTCTGAAGCAGGGCACCACAACACACACTGTTACTATCTGGGTATCAGTTAGCAAGAATCAGTATTGCATGCTGAGCTCATTTAGGGACACTGATCAAGTAAATTAATGAAAAATGTAAAGCAAATAAGTCTGCATAATTTTATGTGTATTTGCAACACCTCTGCCAGTTTTCCTGGGCAGCGGACAGTTTTGCACAAGCATGAAGCAGATTTACCACTGAAGATAACACAATTTTCCCTCAAAACAGATGCACAATTAAGAAGTGGTCAGATCAGGTTTTACTTTGAAGGAAGATGTATTATAGAGCAGCTGAGGGAAAATGTTTAAAGGAGAACTATGGGGTCAGTGTTTTTCCCCATAGTTCTCCTTAGGGTAACGGGAGGACACAAACTAGCGTCCTCCCGTTACCCTAAGCTCAGTATACAGCTCGCGGTATACTGAGACGCCGCAGCCGGAGCGGATCCCGACTTAGATGACGGGATCCGCCCAGCTGCGTGAGTGACAGCTGGCTCTGTCTATCTAGAGGCAGAGCCAGCTGTACCCTGCCCCGTCCGTTCCGCCAGTCAGCGCTGGCAGATCGGAGCGGGGAGAGGGGAATCCAGCCCCTCCCCCTGTCATGGCAGAGAGCCGTGACAGGATCGAGAGGTGAGCGAACCCGGTATGTGTTCGCTCACCTCCCGATCTACTGAGCCGACCTTTGACAGTCTCATTGTCACAGGTCGGCTAGAACTATGAGGTGAGTAAAAAGCACTCACCTCATAGTTCTCCTTTAAATACGGCTACCCATATTATAGTAAATCTACAGTATATCAAATCTGTTCCATTGCTTCTGTTTAGCATGGTCTGACTGTGTGTCCCCCGGAGTTTATATGCCTGTGTATTATCCTTGTCACTGCATTGATTCAATGATGCAGTATTCCTATTCTGCACTAAACAAGTTTAATAACATGAATACATACTTGTACAGTTTCATGGTGGGCTCCACAGCCAGCAAGAAAAAAGGGGCACAAGTGTAGGAGATGGCCAGCTGGGTCACAATCCATGTGATGATGTCATACCCAAGTTTTCGCACTTTCGACGTAATGAAGTAATGACGGAAATTAATTCTTACCTGAAAATGAAACAGTTTATATAAAAAGTTTAATGCTCTTTCCCTGTAGCATGGGACTGTTATTCCAAACCTAAAATAACTGCTTTGAACAGGTTTAAATCAGTGTTCTCTGTCTAGAATGTGTACAAAATAGTTTATCTCAAGAATGTTAATGTGGTAGAGCATGCCTTCCAGTAATAAACTCAGATTATATCAAATTAGAACAAGGCACCACTGCTTTGTGTGGTATACAATGGACACGACAGGAAACCAACAACAAAAGTCCAACTGTTTTTTATAAGGGCAAGCAATTACAATTAAGGGTTATTTTCTTTCTATTCTTTCCCGGAATGTTCTACGCAAATCTAGGTTGCCTTAAAAGTGAACCAAACTGTCCTGATCAATAATATGCCATAAGAGTGCTAAAGTGCAGCACCATACAATGAGTGCAAGTACATGCAGATAAGTGACAGGGTGGGACTCTGTGTTAGGGGGAAGAGGGATTAACCTAATCTTGACCAAAAGTAAAATCTCTACATCCAAATTTTTTTTTTAAATGCTTTGCGTGGAGTTTTACTTAAAAGGCATGTAACAGTAGAAAGGGTTCTGTTACTGGTTCAGGATATATATGGGCCTACCAAGGCAATACACAGGCAAACGTTTGGGTTAAAGAAAAAAAACAGTATAAATGCCTGTTCATCATAAGTTAATGGAAAACGAATTAGAACGAAGCAACATGATCAGTGCAGTAGGGTCTGAATGTACAGTGCACTTCAATGCTCACACGGATGGAATCAAAGGAAGAACTTTGTACTGCTACCTGTGCAGGAGAGGTAAAACGTGGTGCCCTATGTGCCCCAAAACCTATCAGGGATAAAAGAGGGAGCAGTTGCTAAGCTGTATATGCAATCGCTAACTTGCATGTATTGACGTAACTCCTACTTCCTGCTGTTTTGGACTTGGTTCCAAATTTAGATCGGATCAAAAGTTCCATACTTATATCTGCCGCCTGGCCTGATTCAATAGAGTATACTCTCACAGAGAGAAAATGAAATCACGCCAACTCCAATCAGTGTAAATGCAAATTAACATATATATTACAATTGTCTATTGAGATAGGCATTTTGTCATAAGTGTACTTAACCACTTCCATTACACTGCCATCAGTCTTAATATTTGTAGCACAGTACTTACTGCTCTTGCAACCAGCATCACAGGAATACCAGTAATGAAGGTGAAGTAGTATCCAGGATAAACACCATGCCACAATGCAGAGAGGAGAAATGTTAAAGCTGTGCGATACTTTGGCGCTCTGTCATAAGAAACACTGTAAAAACACAATAACCAGATTACTATACAATGTTAACCATTAGTACTGGCGCATCAGTTTACATCTCCAATAATGAGCTAAAAGTATATATACAGTGTGTGTGTATATCTACACAATATATATTTATATATATATATAATCAGTATATAGCGCTTGTGGTCAACTGAGTAATAAAGCTGAACTTCGGGCAAACTACTTAAAGTGACACTAAACTCAGGAGTTGCATCTTAAAATGCATTCAAGTACCTTAACTATGAACAAAATGTATCATATTTGTGTATCACTCAGCTGTAGACCTTCAAATCATCTCTGAATTGGTACTGACACAGGCACCATGGGGAACTGAAGTAAGCACCTTCCAGAAGGAAGGAAAGTGTCAGCATGAAATCAGCGATGATTTGAGGATCCACAGCTGAGTGACGCACACATAGGATGCAGTTTTGTTTATAGTTAAGGTACTTGAATGCACTTTTAAGATTTAACTTCAGAATTTAGTGTCACTTTAAAGCACAGAAGAAATACATATATAAAAGTGTTTTTTCATGTAAAAGGAGTTTTGCCCATTCAGTCCTGATATTTACACAGCTCAGCCCTGCCTGACAGGACAGGAGACTTGAGGTTTTTTTTTGCTGCAGTTTAGCAACACTTATAGGTCTCCTCTCCACCCTCACCCTGTGACTGGACAGTAAAATAAGAAGCAGCAGACTGATGAGCTCATCTCTTTGTTGTTTGTTGTTACTCTACTCTCTACTCCTACCAGCATGCTACTTGCATTGCAGCACAACTGATTAGCTCCTTGTGCTGCTTTTCCTTCCCCCAGTCTAAGCTCTGTTGTACTGAGGCTGATACCAAACCAAATTCAGGTACTTACTTTGTTTGCATTAAAAAAACATTTAATAGTGTATTACTGATTACAGAGCTGTATAGATTTGTGTTTTTATATCTGATAGAAGTTAATCTTTGAAAGGTAAATCTATTTCAATGCAGTATCTAAAGCTGTTTCCCTTCCCATTCTACTGAAAGCCTCCATTGCGAGCATTTTGCTGCAGTCAATGAAGTAAAAGCTATTCATGAATTGGGATATAAAAAAAGGAGTATTGGTAAGATACTAAACACAAGCTACGCAGTACTGGTTACTCAGTAAAGATTTACGTTTCAGTTAAGTTAAACAGTGCACCAGTGCATATGTCCTTTGATGGCAACCTTTCATGAGCAAATCATACAGGATATCATTGCCAACCTCTCCTTCTAAAAATGCTAGTTGTCTGGCTCTCATACTGATCATTTTGCCTCAACACTTTGAGGTACGGACCTGGAACACGTATGCAGATAAGAAATTATGATTTTACTATGTTTAGGATCTTCAAGTCAGAAACTACTAGTAGTATAATACCCAGTTGGCTAGCATTTTCATAGGCAAGTCAGCAATGGCAGTCCTGGTATTTCATTTAAGACAGCTGGACAAACAGTATAATACATTTATAGTCACATATTTCTAGGTCTGCATTTTTAGTCAGATCTCTATATGTATTGTGTGACCATACAATTACAAAACAGCAGCAGGCTGCCTGTGTTTCTGAGAAAAATGTTTGCACTTTCAAAATGCAGAGATTTGTTTCTTGTGGAATGAAATCGACCAACATTCAAGCAGTGTATGGCCAGTTTAAGAATGATGAAGTACATTGTAGTTAGGAGGTAAAATGCTTTTTTCTTCTAACACCACTTTTCATTAGTGCATCAACCATTTCATAGTCTGAGCCATCAGTAGAGCTCGGCTGTAGTGAACTGGGAGTTGCTAACAGATAACATGAACGATATAACTGAAGATGATGAAAGATAAGTAACCAGTATTCAAGTATGCAAGGTGCAAATGTAATCTTATTTACTGTAATTGTGTCACATAGATCGTACAGCCAATGTTTCAGAGCCACGCAGGATCCCTTCCTCAAGGCGAAACATTGAGGATAACAGGTAGAGAGCAGATAAAAATACAGTGGTAACACCCAGTGCAGAACACCCTCTCTGATGGTTTTTTATTTTAGGTATTTATATTATATAGCACCGACAATTTACACAGTGCTTTATATAATGCAGTCCATCTTAAACTTTTTCCACTCATGACCCCTTTTTGACCGACAAAATTTTACGTGACCCCCAGGATCAGACGGTGTCTCTCCCCTCTTTCCCCCCAGCGTCAGACGGTGTCTTCCCGGCCGCCTGGGCCCCTCACACAAGTACCGGCCGTACCCCCGATGGTGGTCCTGGCCAGGGATTCAGATCGTGACCCCCCTGTTCACTTACGTGACCCCATATGGGGTTGCGACCCACACTTTAAGAAGCACTGAAATAGTGCACATTCACATCCGTCCCTGCTCAGAAGGAGCTTTCAATCCAAGGTCACTAGCTTACATGTATACATACACACACATACTAGGGCTGATTTAGAGAGGAGCCAATTACCTGCCAGTATGTCTTTGGAGTGTGGGAGGAAAATGGAGTATCCAAAGTAAACCCACAAAAGCACAGGGACAACATTAACCTTCCAGCATGTCTTTGGAGAGTGAGAGGAAACTGGAGTACCCAGAGGAAACCAACGGAAACACAAGCAGAACATGCACTCCTTGCAGATTTTATCCTCCTGACTAGTATTTGAACCCGGACCCCCAGTGATGCAAGGCAAAAGTACCAACCACTAAGCCACTGCGATATCACATTGATCTTATAATCCCACACAAAAAAAAAGAAGAAAAAAAAAGAACCAAATCATACGATGGATATGTCCTTGACTACTTAAGTGCTTGAAAATGTACATGGTGCCATCCATTGTCACTGTGAGCACCACCATGCCTACATTGGTCATAGCACTGTGTGTAATGCAGATGGTTTCTGCATCTTGAAAGATATTACTGTTCTAAATAAATGATCCTGATTTCTGTTTCACAATGCTGTAATAAAATGGTTTTTTTCCCATCATAAGTGACGAAGATCTTAAATGGCAATTTGCTTATGGACAGGAAGAGAACAGCCAGAGGCTTTGACTACTATTAGACTAAAAAATAATCACGTTTTTATCTTACCCAATATATTGTCTATTTTAAACTTTATTGATTACCTTTTCAACCAAGCTGCGGTCTGGATATTCCAGTTGTCTATATACATTTTAAAACTTGTAGCCATCTACAAGAAAGAGGAAAAAAGAATTAGAACATAAATGATTTCATATAAATATACAGTATATACAGCACTGTTTTCACCACTCAACATACGCTTTAGGGCAGATTACACATTTACAACAACGATTCAGCTGTGGACCTATTTGTTATCTTTGGCATCTAGGCCATAGAACTAAGTGTTCTTGCTCCAATAACCGTGCAAAATGTTTTAAAGTGCTGAATAAATGAATATACTTCCTTCATAGCCAGCAGACAAACATTGGTGTTCTACGTGTTCTGATAGAAATGAACACAAAACATCATGTAATATCCTGAACACTTTAACTGATATAGATAAATACAAATGTAAAAAAAAAGAGGTAAAAGTAAACCTGTATTGTTAAATATCACTTTAAGATGAACTTATGGTTACATAACACATAATGAAATTCCACCAGGACACCACTAGGACATCTTGTGTGGGAATACAGGCCATCCTACACTACAGCACATTATGCCAAGGAGACCTATCCTAGCAAGAGCAAACAAACTGGAGTGGTGGTGTGGTGGGGGGTTTAGTACTTAAAGAAGCTGTGTCACTTACCAAACTAAATCAAACTTAAAGTACCCTGCAAGAGAAGAGGAGTAATGTTCACCTTTCTGAATGGTGATTTGTTGAATCTTTACTCTCTCTTTCGATCTAAGAGCTGCTGCTGTTCCTCCAGCTGAGCCACAGGTCACTACTGTTTCCTAAAGCGACATAGGGATAGGCAGGAGGACCCACAGGGCCCTGTGGGGGACATGCTATCGGACACACCTGGAAGTATTAGCAGAGATTTGCACTCAGAGCTCAGCAAGAGAGTAAAGATTCAATAGACCATCTGCCAACTAAGTGAGTGTTCATCCTCTTCTCTTCCAGCGTACTTTCAGTATAGTTTTGTTTGGCATGGGACAGGGTAGATTTAAAAGTGAACGGAAGCCATCCTGGTAAAGTTTTATTTATATTTCTGGTGCCAAATTATGAAATGAAATGTACTAATTATCTGAGAATTCTAAGGCCCCTTTAACACGGGTACCGTCCATTCCATCTCAGCAGGGTCAGACCAGAACGGAGACAGATGTCGCATACGTTTTTCCTTGATCTTGGGGTGGAGGAAAATCAGACCCATGTAATCACTATGGGTGGCTAGATAAAGACAGACTTGCATCCGCCTATGTCCACCCACATACGGTCAGGTCAGTAAAAGCTGACCTAGACCCATACTTATTGCATTTTGTGCAATGGACCTAAAAGGATCTGCAAGTGGGCTGATGTAAGTCTGCTTACATCCACCCACCCATAGATATGTATTGTATTTTAATTAGTTTCAGCTTCCCCCATTGGCTACTCATGCAGAGCAGCAGGCAAATGTCTGTTGCCACTGCATGCTGAAGCCTATGTGAATTAGAACAGTGCAGTCGCCAACATGCCCACATCATTGACATGATGGCATTCAGTTACAGAGCATGCAGTAGGTGTTATTCAGTTGGTGGAGCATGTTTTTCAGAGTCCCCACACCCAACCAGTGCCTGTATTACCATTCCACAGCCAGACAGCCTGGCAGGAGCCAATGCTTGGACAGAAATAAAAACAATAAAGAATTACGGTAAACATTGGTATTACACGCTCAAAAGATCGCTGCATTACATGGTATTTTCTAGATACCTATAGATAAGCTATTTCTATTTTATAGGAGTGACTGGACAGCTGTGCAGACGCAGCATAGATGCCAAAGATTAAATCTAAAACAAGCTCACGCCTATGTTTGCAGCCTAAGCTGGAAAAGGTACAGTTATGACATATGGTACATGTCCTTAGTGAGAAAATCGTTAAAACCAAACTTCATAAAAGTAGCTTAATACAAATTTGAAATACATACTGTATATATCCCTACTGCCAAAGAAATCCAGAGACAGACAGGGCTGTATTTACCATAAAGAAATTTAGAGGTTGAAAGAACAAATATTTTTTCTTCTAATCAGTACTAGGCTTGTCCATGAAGCTCACCTCAATCTTCCATATGTTAAGACTATTTATTAAATCCCATTTGGGATTGCCCTTCTCATCCACCCCACTGAAGCCATATCCTGCAGCGTTGTTCACTGCATCAGCTAGAAAAAAGAAAGAACAGACATTTAAATCATACAATCTGCACAGATCTAACATTTTTACATGTTCTGTATAACCATACCAATCAGATGTTGTTTCATTGTATAACAAGAGCATAATAAGTACAGCTATCTTACTGGTTACCAAAGCTAGTTCCACCATTCATTAACTTTTAAAAGTAAGCCTGGTAAGGAAATCTCAGTGATCCCATATGTTAATTTAACTATAGAACAACAATGAACACAGCTTTCCCCATCCCAGTATGAAGGATGCTGAAACAATTATTCTCCCTAAGAACTCACATGAATAAGAATTAGGCTAAAAAGAGATACTGCAAAGATACTACCTAGGACTCGGACAAGCATCTCTGCACTGCTGCCATGGACATGAGGTGATCCAGCAATGTAACTAAGGTGTAAACATCAAGTTGCATATTTTGTTACTAATGGTAGTAAGCATGAGCATTACAAATCTACATCAGGGGTAGGCAACCATGGCACTCCAGCTCTAGTGAAACTACAAATCCCATGACTCCTTTGCCTCTGGGAGTCTTGCATGCAACGCTTCATGGGATTTGTAGTTTACCACAGCTAGAGTGCTGACGTTGTCTAGCCCTGGTCTAAATATTAACGCTGTGCATGTGGGGGCCTCAGGTGATCACCAGGACAGATATAGAGTACAGGAATTCAAACAATAGCCATGTCTAAAGCGCTGCGCAAACTGTTGGCGCTATATAAATCCTGTATAATAATAATAATGTCTCCCGCAGGCTGTTGTAATTTTATTTGATTTTTATCAATTCAAAGATCCATTCATAGGGTCTGTCAATGCAATAGTTCTCAATGGAGTACAAGTGTGGTGACATCATCACTCCCTACCATTCCGTAACTGAAAGTCGGTAACACAATGTGGACAGGGAATGGGAGGAATAGCCTGCAGGAGCCTGAACACTGTACTGATCGCAGCACAACAATGGCACGCTGGACACGGCATTGGTTTTAGAGTGGTAGGGGCAGGCATGATGCAAGGATGGGAAAACAAAAGCATAGCAGAGAGTTGTGACGATAAGTGTCAGACATTGGAAAGTGAGTGAGAGAATCTGGATCAAAATAAGTGAATTATACCCCACATACAAACATGTACCGTACTTCTCACTAACATATATACACGCTCACACATTCAGAAGTGCAAAACACAACGGGTCTTGCAGATACATCAACACACTGTCACCCAGATAATCACATTTTTACTACCAGAACCTACCACTTACATTTTCTACCAGGAGTTGTTCTTTCATGATATGAACATATGCAGAATTTCTTCCAATTATGTTCACCCTGATAAAATAATATTACATACACATCTTTAGGGAAATAAATCTATTCTATAGTCACTTACCCAGTGTCCATGCAAAATAGTACTTGGGTTTACAAGCCATTGTGGCAATGTAAAGATAGCCTAGTCTTGTCATGAAAGAAGATTCATTAATGAAAGTATCATCCACAATATAGGCAATAGGGAAAGCCTTACTTATGGTCAGGAAAAGAATAAGCGATATCACACATATGGAAATCTTGTGTAAAACAGCTTTCTGAAAGAAAAAAAACACATTTGTTTATATTACATTTAATCATTTTGCAAGTTTTTTACTATTTCTAGGTTTTATTTTTTTTTATTGGTCAAACTCAATGGACTTGTGTCTTTTTTTTATCTATGTAATTCTGTTGCAGTGTATTGTTATGTGG